TATTCACGGAGAGTTCGCTTGGATGGAATTGCGACGCATCGATTTCAACGGAAAACTTCTCTTTATCGTCGATTATCTTAAATAAGTTTAATTTATATGGATAAATAATAAAAATAAATTTAATTCATTTTAAAAATCAGAAAATTGAATGCGAGAAAAACTTACTTTACCAATGGAATTACCAATATTACATTGTTGCAACAAAGGCTGATTAAACCAATACGGAGTAATCGAACGGCTGAATAAATTATCACCGTTGAAAAAATTATCAAAAGCCTTATCAACCACACGAAGCAGATTTCGCTCAAATGGAGCGACACAATAGCGACGATGTGGCCAACTCGAGACGCAAATCGACATATTAGCGACGATCCACTTAATGACTTACTTATTTATTCAAATTTTATTTTGAAATTGCCAAATTTTCCTCATTTTTATACATTAAATATTGTCCTTCAAGAAATTTCTCAACCATTCTCGAAGCGATTTTTATGCCTGCCTTGTATTATTTTCACACTGTTTTCATCTCTAGTCGCTGTCGAAATTTCGAGAAATTTCTAGAAATTACCAGAAATTTCCGATGATTTTCGGATTTTTTTTGATTGAAAAAGGAAAAATTTTGGAAAACAAATTACAAAATTAGCTAATAAATTTATTTTATTTATTTATCACTAATAAACAAACATTTTTTTGCTGGGAAAATAAAAATGATATTGAAAAAAATCAATTTCGCACCAAAAATATCATTGAGGCATTGAAATTTATAAATAATTTTATTAATTTTTTTTCGAAAATTCAATTTTTTAAAAAAATTTTCATAAAAAATTTGACTATAATTTTAATCAATTATTAAGCAAAAACAATGTTGGAAAATTTTTGGCATTTTATATTCGGCGTATTGAAATTTTAATTTTCCATCTCAATACTATTATTTATTCGCCTTTTTTGTAAAATAACTGATAATCATTTGAGAAGCGATGAAATCAAAAGTCTTTTAAGGGACTAGAAAGTTCTTCTGTTCTCCGAAATTATTGCCAAATTAGCTGATAACACCTTATCAATGAATATGAATAGTTCTGTTTGCGTTATGAGAGAACTTCCAACATTCTAATCACTTGCAAACAAATAATTAATTGCAATAAATCTCTAATATGGTTTCCTTCCATGGAATATTCCATGATATGTTAGTGTTGGTGGCCTACTTGTACTTCGGTCGCCAAATGATTTCTCGGTAAAATTTGTCTTATTCTGCAATGTATCGAAGCGAGTTTAAGCAATGGGGAGGCCTCATTGAACCAAATACGCAGTACAAACCAAATGTCTAAGGCCAATGATAAAAGGCAATATATGGCCATTTATATAGCATAATAATTTATGCTCAAAAAAGTCCTCAATGGGCAGAATATTTCCTTGAAATTGGCCCAAAGTACGATTGGCACAAATCTGACTATTATATTATATATAACTATTATATTTTGCAATAAATAATATAGCCTAAATACAGGAAAATACGCTCTATTTCTTAATATGTGAGATGGAAATCAGCCGAAATTGGCTTATGGATTTTGACTCTCCGTTGACATATCATTGGCATTAATTTGAACAGTAATAATCCATTCCTACCGCCGTTCCGCTAATTATTTTGTAGAGATTTATTTTAATGCTTCTATTCCGTAACAAACAATTAAGCAACAATGCATAGCATATAGAAAAAATTGATAATATTGGCACTGGTGATAATTGTGAAAAGATACACCGAGGAAATATACGGCAAACTCAATAAGCTCTTTTACTTCAAAGGTTTAGCTTAGAATTTATGTGAGAAAATTTCAAATGACGCTTCGTAGAATCATTTTGATAAACCATAAATTTCATGGAAACGACTTGTAACATTGCAAGGAATTCCTTTACAAACGCTTTAACGGTCTTAAAGAATAATTTTGCATTAAAATGTTAAAATTATAATTATATATTTTCTTTTTGTTTTTGTCTAAAAATGCAAAAAAATTTCAGTTATCTCCGTTCGAGAACTGTAAAAATTTTATAAAATTTGTTCCCATCGAGATATGTGATAAAATATGGAAGAATTTTTTCGGAAAATTTTTCATAAACTTCCGAAACAATCTTTTTTGGCAAACTAGTTTCTCTATTTTGAATATAAATCCAATATTATATAAAATAATATTTCAGCGTTTTTTTTAGTTATGAAAATTTTTCGAATAGTAATAATGTTCTTCTGCGTCCACCTTTTGGTTAGTTAGTACCATATTGTAGAATAAGCCTATGAGAAGATTTTCATTTAAATCTAATGGAATGGCACATAAATTTACTAAAGAACTTGTAGACAATTTTCTGATAACTTTATAGATTTTAAAATTTATCTTGTAATTTTATTTTTTGACTAATTTACTAATTTGCTAATTTATTAATTTATGTTATAGGCATATTATAGACATTTAAATAATATATCTTTTTTCAAATAGAATTAATATATCTTTTTTCAAATAGAATTAATAGAATTTATAAAAGGTACTTCAAAACTAGACGAATAGAATTACGGAGTTTACGGAGTCGTTTTCATAAGCTTTCGTTCTTTTTCAGTTACCAATCGTATGTGGGCAAGATGATTTTAATAAAACTGAAATTGTTCGCGATGTTGATTGCAAATTGACTGGACTGAACTGTGGTCCCAATATGCAGTTCATTACTGTTAAGCAATTTTCGCCAAGCTTCTCGCCTATCAAACCAAACGACAAAATTTGCATGCAGCAATGCACATATGTTATTCCTCAAGCGATGAAAATTGTTGAAACACGTGCTACAAAATTAGCAATAATTTCATTGGCAAAACCTGCAAAATTCGTAAAAATTCATTATTATAAGATTCTTCTAAAGTATTGACATTTCGACGTTTTTCTGGACTCATTTAGAACTCAATTAGAACAATTGAACATTTCTGAGTTTTCTTTTCGTGCAAAAGGTGAAAACCCGAGGTTTTTCAAAACCCAAACGACAAAAGGCACAATAACCTCGGGAGATGTTAAGAGGTTCCACTTGCCATGAAATAGGTTAGAAAATTTATGAGGTAGAAAATTTATGAATAAATTTTCCTAAAGAATCTCCGAGACGTTTTTGCAATAGAGAAATGCAAAATAATTTTTGACTTTTTTAAAGTTTTTCTCCCTTTTGAGATTTTGACCATTTCGTTTTTTATCTATCGGAAATTTTAATTTTTGGGGTTTTTCATAATTTTGAATAGCGCCATCTTTTCTAACGTAATGACATCAACAAAATATAATAAATAATAAGCATTAATTAAATATATTATTGCTATAATCCTATTGGTGCCTGGCGAATATTGGAAAATTAATGAGTATCGCAAGGATTTATCAACAAAGCCTTATTAAAATATTGCGAAAATATAGCTTATCATTTCAAAACTTTTTTCACGGACTTGGGATCCTTAAATTAATTTCGTATAGTCGGAATAAAATTCGAAATAGCAAATAACTCGATCAATGCAATTTTAAGACAATACGAATATAGAAGTCGAGTTGCTTCGTCACAATCTTAAAACAGTTATAAAAATTTGAAAATTAAATAAAAATTTTAAATAAATAAAAATTTTTCACGAAATTTTCCCATTCACATTATATTCACATTATATCATTGATTTTCAAATATTTTTTCAGTCACAATGTGCGAAAATGGGTCTCTGTGCATTGAATGAAAAAATTGAAGATCCCAGATGCAAATTAACTGATAAAAATTGTGGTGAAAACATGAAATTTATCACCATTAACCGCAGTAATCGTATACTAACACCTTTCGTTTATTACTTTAGATTTTGCATTCAACAATGCAAATGTGCACCAAACGAATACATTGAAAAGGATGGCAAATGTTTTAAGAATTCAAATTTGGTGAGATGTTTTATAATTTTGTATGACTGAATTCAATTGCCTCGTAAGATCCGTTCCATTCAATTTTCAGATCATTTTAATTATAAATTGATAACAATGATTCGTAAAAAATTTTGAATTAGTGAGCTTCAGGCGATAAGCAAATGCCAATTTTTGATTGACAACATTTTTATTGAAAATTCATTTTTTAAAAAAATAAAAATAGTCTTTTAGTGAAACCTAAATTTTTACGTTACTGGAAGCTTTGTTGATTTAAATTACTCTTAAATAGTTTTGCAATAGATACATTTACGTTTTTTTCAGATTAACCATGTGACCTATTCATATGGTGAAGAAGTATTTGATTTTTCTTGCCAGTTGGCAGGCAGCAAATGTGGACTGAACATGATGTTTGTGAACATCGATCCATATAAATCACGTTTCGCCTATCCTCAATTCTCTTCTTCCATTTTTTGTATCGTACGATGCGAATGTATTAAACCGTATGAGGGAAAAGATGGGCGATGCACATAAAATCTCTCGATGATTTCAAAGAATTATCACAATTATCACAATTCAAAGAATTATCATAATTAGATTTCAGATACTTTAGTTTTATTCTCCTTTGTATTACTCTTTTAATTAGTGGTTTAGATTTATAATATGGTTGATCGATGATATTTTTTATTATTATTTCTTTTCCTATTTTATAATGGAACCAAATAAAACCGTAATACCATATGTTTTTCTAATCACAATGAAATTATAGTAATAAACAAATATATATGAAATATTCCTTTATAGTATTTATTTAATTATTTAATTTAATGAAAACCAGCCAAGCAGGGCGTTAAACGCCATGTGCTAATGTACTAATAAAAGTTAAAATAACAGATAATAATAATAAGAATTAATGATAAAAAAAAAGAAGAAAATATGAAGAAAATACAAAAAATTAACAGTTTAAAGAGGGAACATTTCCTGCACGATATGAATTTTTTAAATTATATCATAAATGATGTTATTTTTTTTTTTAAAGATAGTTAAAGATGGCTATATCGTTCGGTAATTTATTCCAGTGATTAATAATGCGAATAAAGAAGTATGAAATCTATTTGCGGGCAGCGGTCGTACCATAAGTAATATTATCAGTAAAATTTCCTTTTAATATCGTTGACAAGCGGAAAAACTTTATGGAAATTGCTCATATATTTTAATACTTCTAACAAATATGCAAATAGACGATAACCCAAATTAATTCGATTCCATTCAATTAATAATTAATATAATTTCAATAAAAATATCCAAAAAAAATTATCGCGCTTATCATTTAGCAGGATTATATAAATAAATTTTGATATATACCTATAGTTTCGAACTATTCAATTCGAATAAACCTAAAAATCAACAATTTTTGCCGAAACTCTATATTAACTCTACTTTTATCGATATGGTACAACTATAGCAAGAAAAGAAGAAATGTTCGTTGGCAAGAAAGCGGAAAAGCACAGCCTTGACTTTTTTGATTATTAACTTATTCTTATCAGATGGCATAAACGAGCCGTGTTGATTACATTAATAACGATGGTTAATTTAAAAATCGCACCTAGTAACAATTTAAGAAAATAGCCCTTATTCTAATCATAGAGAGCTTCACCGTGATATAAGCTTTTTTGAACCTAAACTAGAATGCTTTGAAAATAGCCACATATTACCTTTTATCATTGTCATCATTTTGTCATTGGCCTTATACATTTTTCTTGTATTTCGTATTTGGCTTTTTTTTTTTTTTTTTTTTAACGAGGCCTCCCCATTGCTTAAACTTGCTTCGATACATTGCAGAATAAGACAAATTTTACCGAGAAATCATTTGGCGACCGAAGTACAAGTAGGCCACCAACACTAACATATCGTGGAATATACTATGGAAGGAAACCATATTAGAGATTTATTGCAATTAATTATTTGTTGGAAATTAGTTTGCAAGTGATTAGAATGTTGGAAGTTCTCTCATAACGCAAACAGAACTATTCATATTCTTTGATAAGGTGTTATCAGCTAATTTGGCAATAATTTCGGAGAACAGAAGAATTTTCTAGTCCTTTAAAAGACTTTTGATTTCATCGCTTCTCAAATGATTATCAGTTATTTTACAAAAAAGGCGAATAAATGATGGTATTGAGATGGAAAATTAGAATTTATATAAAACGCCGAAATTTTTGCTATCGTTTTTGCCGAATAATTACTTAAAATAGTTCAATTTTTTACGTCCAAATAGTCCAAAATTTTTTTGGAAAAAATCAATGAATTCTAGTAAAATTATTTGAAAATCTCAATGATATCTTTGCTGTGAAATTCAATGTCGATTATTTTCATTTTCATTTTTCCAATAAACAAACGTTTATTTATTTTTCAATAGTAAAATTCCTAGAATTATTGGAAGTTTCTGGAAAATTCTAGAAATTTCTCGAAATTTCGAAGGTGATAGAGATAAAACAGAGGGAAACTAGTATAAGGCGTAGAAATAGTCTCGAGAATGGTCGAGCAACTTCTCGAAGAGCAATATTTAAAGGATGAAAGTTTGACAGTCCAAAAATAAGTTTCTAACTAAATCGTCGCTAATATGTCACTTTACGTTTCCGATTGACCACATCGTCGATATTGTGTCGCTCCATTTGACAAAGTTTGTACCGTGTTGTTGATAAGGTTTTTTCAACGGTGATAATTTATTCAGCCGTTCGATTACTCCGTATTGGTTTAATCAGCCTTTGTTGCAACAATGTAATATTGGTAATTCCATTGGTAAAGTAAGTTTTTCTCGCATTCAATTTTCTGATTTTTAAAATTAATTAAATTTATTTTTATTAATTATTCTTATAAATTAAATTTATTTAAGATAATCGACGATAAAGAGAAGTTTTCCGTTGAAATCGATGCGTCGCAATTCCATCCAAGCGAACTCTCCGTGAATATTCGTGAAAACAAATTAATCGTTGAAGGGAAACATGAAGAAAGGAACGACGAAAATGGTACCATTCAACGTCATTTTATTCGCAAATATGAAATTCCAAGCGATGTGCAAATGGATACAATTGAATCGAATTTATCGGACCAAGGAGTGCTGTATCAACGCCAGGAAAATACCATCAGACAGTGTACCAGTTCGCCGCATTCCAATTAAACTTTCGCCTCCATCAGATGACAATCAAAGTTCAGATGTTAATAATAAATAAAATAGGCAATTAGAATGTTAGAATTTATTTTATATTTCAGATTTTAAATACCCACTGATCTTCATTTCATTTCAGTTGCTCGTGGAGAGCTTTTGTCATGTTTGGCTTTTTTATAGAACTAAATGGAATAT